CGCCACCCTTGGTATATGGGGCTGGCACCCTAGCCAATGAGTCACAGGTGCCGCCCTGGATTTGGATTTTCTTACCTGTAAAATGGGGGTAACACTACCCTACTTAATAAGACTGTTGTGAGGATTTACCTTGTTACTGCACAGTTATTTGCACAGTGCTTGGTACAAGGTATGCACTCAGTAAACTTTATGTATTATTATCACTATTATTAGAGGGTGTTAAATATGCCCCCTTGGGTAGTAAGCAAATAGTCCTTCTATCAGAAGTATTGCCTAAATAGCCTATCACTTACAAACCCAACCTTGGTATGTTCTGTGAAGATTAGAACAACAAAAATACCTGGTAGTTAATCCTTATTCTTAGCTCTCTGGTTCCTTTTTTACTGTGATATGTTCATGTAAGCACTTAAGCAAACCAACAAGGTAATGCAAACATTTGATCTCTAATTTCTGTCCATAGTGTCTTAGTTATCCAAGTAATAACTAGCTGGTTTACTTTTCATTTATTAAAATTGTGAAATGTGGGTTAAATTGTGAAGACAGAGTGACTATATAAAGTTCTTCTCTCTCCACTTGCAGACTCTATGGCAGCCTTGCTCAGGATGTTGGATTTTTAATTTCTTTAGTAGACTTGCTGATTTTTATTAAGAATCAATGCTTGGTTAGTTTATATACCTAGACTGATTTAGATTTATAATCTGTCTTTGTTTATATGAAACAAAAAGCATGCTGCCTTAGTTCTGACACATTTGTCAGCCTTTGCCTCTCAGTAGCATTAGGGCCTCCTGCTGCGCGACTGTTGTCCAGTGGCTCACCTTCAAATGGCATCCCTCGGTATGCCTGATGGTTGCTGAGACTATGGCTAGGCTACCCTGTATTTAAATACAGGGTTGTGTCTTTTCTTATTAAACTTGAGCATTCTAAATTCTGTGGAGCCTTCAGAGAATTGTCTGATGATTGGTTTATATTTAGTTCAGTGATTCAGTTAGACATAGAAAAGACAGTATAGGTCTATCTATAAAGTACCTTGTCCAAGTTAGTTAGATCCGTGAAAGTATTGATCAGCTCTTGGCTCCTCTTTAATAGTGGGCTTAAGTATTATATAGATTTAATTCATTACTCAAGGTTGTGTTGTATGGGATATTCCTTGAAATAAACGAGCTATTGGCAAGAGTGTGTGGGATGCTTTTACCATTTGGGAAAGTAAGAAATTTAAAGTTTTCTTAATTTTTAATTTTTATTATTTAATTTCATTTCAAATTAATATGAGGGTATAAATTTTAGGTTACATTGTTTCTAAGGTAGTTCTAAGTTAAAGTTCAAGTTGTAGTTGAGCTCTTCACCCAGGGCACATGCTGAACACCCTTATATTGTGCATGTTAGGTGAGATTCCACCAGTTGCCCCACCCCCTTGCTCCTCTCCCCCTTGCTAGGCTATATTTGTGTTTTATCATTCGTCTGGGTGTGTAGTTGTTTGTGTATTGGTTTCATATAGTATCGAGTACATTGAAGATATATATATATATGTGCACATATATATAAATAAAAGTATATATACATACACACACACACACTTTTTTAGGGGAGGTTATAGGGGCTTGCTTTGTTGCCCAGGTTAGGGTGCAGTAGGGAGATCATAGGTAACTGCCTGCAGTCTTGAACTCCTGGGCTCAAATGATTCTCTCACCTCAGCCTCCCAAGTTGATGGTGTTACAGGCATGAGCCACCACACCCAGCTCAATTCTTTATTTAAAACAACAGTGAGTCACACTTTCAGAGAAGCTATTAATTTTGACTTGTTTGTCTGACATAGCCTTTTTATGGAGTTTGCTATGTGGATGCATGCGAGGCCAGGAAAACACTAAAAAAACTTGAAAACTTCTAAGTGGGGGCTATAAAGCACCATAGTACTGATGTATGAAGAGACAGTAGACCAGTGAGATAGGATAGAAAGCCCAGAGGTAGACCAGGTACATATGAAAATTTAGTTACGTGGTAAAGCATGGGGTATTTTAATCTGTTTTGTGCTGCTGTAACAAAATATAATAGACTGTGTAATTTATAAACAAAAGATTTATTTCTCGTGGTTTTGGAGCCTAGCAAGTCCATTATCAAAGATGGTATCTGGTGAGGGCCTTGTTGGTGGATTATCCTGTGGTGGAAGGGCAAAAGAGCACAAGGTTGGGGGGGGATCAGAACTTATTCTTCTCTCAAGACTCAGTTCTGCTGTAACAAACCAACCCCTGTGGTAATGGCATTAATCCATTCATGAGGGCAGAGCCTTAATGACCTAATCACCTCTTAAAGGTCCTACCTCTTAACAATGTTGCATTGAGGATTAAGTTTTCAAAGCTTGAACTTTGGAGGACACATCAAACCATATAGCACAAGGCAAAGATGAACTTTTGTTTGTTTGTTTTGAGACAGAGTCTCATTCTGTGCCCTGGGTAAAGTGCTGTGGAGTCGTAGCTCACAACTACCTCAAATTCTTGGGCTCAATCCACTTGCCTCAGCCTCCTGAGTAGCTGGGACAACAGATGCCCTTCACAATGCTAGGCAAGTTTTTCTATTTTTTAGTAGAGACAGTGTCTCGCTTTTACTTAGGATGCTTTCGAACTCCTATGCTCAGGCTGTCCACCTGCCTCTGCCTCTCAGAGTGCTAGGATTACAGGTAT